GAATCATGTTTTTGTACTCTAATATTTACTTGGCTGCATCTTTCCATGTCATTAGTTGACTAGGTAGTGTAGCCAGGGTCAGGATGACAAGTTCAAGCTTGCCAAATAAGCTTCGGAGGTCAACTTATTATTTTTTAAAGTTGATATGTTTGTCATCGTTTGGAAGGGGGTTCACTTCTCTGATTCGCTTACACTTCATTTGAGCTTGAGCTATGGAGCTCTGTAATCAGCAGGCTTTTCCGGTAAAGAATGATATTTTTTTATTATTAGGCTTAAAACCTAAAGCAAATTTATACACACAGTACATTGAAAACATATATTCTGTCTGAGTATATGTAAGGCGGTGTTGGCCGAAACTGGCCTGCAACTCTGAACATAAAAGATGATTCCCAAACGTATATATTCGGTGTATTTAAAGGGTCTTTTACTGCGATTCATCATCAAAATGGAATTTAAAGTGTCACCGTCATCAAAAAATGGGCAATAGGGAAAAAAATCTTCAGCATCCAATACACATGCGGTTGTGTTGGTTGCCCGCATTCTCCACTGTGTACCCACCCACCACTATGTCACTACTATGCCATTACTATGTCCAGAGCTGTTGTGATAGAGTGGATGGCAGGTGGAACCCCAGCACACAGCAGGGGATGCAGGGACACTTCCAGGTTTGCTGGATGCTGAAGATTTCATTGGCTGCTGAAGCTCTGGAGAGTGACTATCAGAGATTAGCAAGTATTTTGTACTATTTTATGCTTTTCTTTTTTTTCCTTTTAACTGTCATACACTTGCTACGCACTTTCAGAATATTCGGATCCAATTCTCTCCGGGAACTGCTGTATTTACTTTCAAAGTTATTTTCTTGCCTGGCACAGTCGTGTTCCGGGCCCGACTGGGTACAGAATGGTAGACAAATATGTAAATACATTCCTGTGACATCAGAAGGCCACGGCAGAGCGCCGGACTGGAATTTTTCATTGGGGGAAAAGAATGCGGCTTGCATCAGAGAGGGGACAATAGATGAGAGGAAAGAAAAGGGAAATAGCTGCTTTACAGGTTATAGATTTACAGAGAGATAGATTAGATTGTAAATCCTATATACAGATTGCCAACTGAAACATGTGACATACAGTGAAACAGGGCTCTGCGTCGCTTATTAGTAAAAGGGACGGGAGATTTTGGTTTGGGTGGCAATAACATTGTGAGTGTCTTATTTTTAGCAGCTGCTTTATAGCTACACATTCAAGGGATTCTGGGAAAATGCAATTGTGATGAATTTGTAGATTTATCCTCCTGCAGGAGAGTGGTGTGGCTTCACAACACGTAGGGATTCTATGTAACAACAACTCAGCACAGTGGTGTAATGGTTAGCACTTCTGCCTTGCAGCACTTGGGGTCCCCAGTTCATATCCCAGTCAGGACACTATCCGCAAGGAGTTTGCATGTTCTCACTGTGCTTGCTTGTATTTCCTCCCACACTCCATAGACATGCTGGAAGGTTAATTGGCTCCTGTCTAAATTGGCCCTGTATGTATGCATGTGAGACAGGGACTGTGGCTTGTGGTGTGACTCCACAACACGTAGGGGGTCTATGTAACAACAACTCAGCACAGTGGTGTAGTGGTTAGCACTTCTGCCTCGCTGCACTGGGGGTCCCCAAATCATATCCAGTCAGGACACTATCCGCAAGGAGTTTGCATGTTCTCCCTGTGCTTGCAAGTTTCCTCATAGAATATGGTAGATCCGATTGCACTCCTGACCAGAAAACCCCAAAGTGTAAATACCAGTAATAATAATTCAACAAGTTATTTACCCTGAAGATCTCTGTGAATGTTCACTATGCGAATAGAGGCAAAGCAAATGTTATTTTATATATTTTCTTTTCACGCCAAATGTAACATTTGGAAAATACCACATTATGGCCACTAGATGGAGCTGAGGGGCATAAGAAATGAGCATTCATAGACACGATTTCCATGAAGCAAGAAACCAGAAGTGCGGCTTCCACTGTCCATATCAGAATCAATTAGCAAAGATTTGGGAGTTTCTAAAGTAGTACAAAAATAAGAGTGTATATGTGTCAATGGAAGGAGTTAGGATTGAAAGCCTTGAAGGGAAGCATGGAGCCCCGAAGCATTGTGTATGTGATATGAAGAAATGAATAATCTTTGTTTGACTTATAACATGAGGCACGTCATTCTTCTTTTCAAAGCAAAACAGTTCAAGAAAAAATAATTTGGGCTTTAGATCTACTTTAAGGGTCCATTTAAACTGTAGCGTTGGGCCATGTTCACGGGTTCAGGGTGTCAAATTGTAGTGTGCAGTTCCATGTGGTGGCGTGTTGTATTGCCATTCATTTGAATGGCACCCCAATGCACTTGCTGGTGGCTTTGCGTTGCAGTGCAGTGTGCTGTATTGCAATACCGTGTGATGCATTGCCATGCAGTAAAAAAATAATGCATGCATTAGTTTTTTTTACCGCAACATGGTTTTGCAATGAAAAGGGAGGAGCATTGCAATGAAAAGGCAGGAGCAACGGAGAACCCTTGCAGTGGGACTACACTCGCATTTCAAGGATTAAGTGCTCATTTTGTCTAGGTGCTAAAATAAAGTTATACTTACCTGAACATCGCAGCCAACTGGCTGCTAGACCGGTCCTTCCAGCCTCTCTCCCACTCTTCTGCAGCGATGGTATGTCCCTCGGCATCCTCACGTCCAGTACACTCTATAGGATGACTCACGGTACCTTAGACCGCTGAAGCAGAGGGGGAGTCACCGGTCTAGCAGCCAGCCAGCCGGCTGTGAGGTTCAGGTGTTATTTTTTCACCTAGACGAAAACCGGCAATTTGACCCTGCCAGCGCGGGGGAAGCCTCACTGCAAGGGCTAAGAAAAGTTTTACTTACTTAAAATCCAAGTTATTAATCCCCAACAAATAGCACCTCTGGCCTGCAACATGCGAGTAATTGCAATTTATTATACACAGTGTCCCTGCCAACAAAGCATGAAGCAGTGGGACGTGTAGCGTGTTCTTTTTCCTCTGACACATTTTTACTGGAAACATAAAGCCCATGTTAGAAGTCTGCAGGCCGATCTTCAGAATTCCATTACTGGGGATTAGGTCTCAAGTGCGACATTGTATCCGGCTCACAGATGAATCGGGAATACTTTCCCACATGTGTTTATAGAACAGCTTTCTACGAAGCCATACATCATCTTTATGGGCTTGTGACTGTGTATATGTATAGGTCTGCGTGTGTATGTATGAGCACATAATTAAACCTCAAGCTCCGGTCACAAGCGAGTTATATTTGGCTGATGATTTAAAAGCAGAAGTGTAAAGCGGATCAGCTGTAAGAAAGTCGTTTTGAATTATAGTGTTTATATAGCAAGGAAAAAGTTAACGGTGAATCTGTTACATGTGAGAAAAGATGACCGTGTAGTAGGGTAGACTTTCACACTGACAGTGCCAAGTAGTAGGCAGCGGAAAAACAGCCGTTTTATGTGACGCATACACTATATTGCCAAAAGTATTGGGACGCCGGCCTTTACACACACACATGAACTTTTTGTAGTTTAGAATAAAAATGTTGTTCGAGACGATTAATGTTGCACTATATTTAAAATAATGATTACATTGTGAAAGAATGACTAGTATTGACAGTCTGGACATTTCAAGGCTCCTGTAAGGTGTGCCATAGGACAGGCAGCACATGCCAAGTAGGGGGAGTAGAGAGAAGTGTCAATCTGGCTTCTAATTATTTAGCCGGACAGAGCCCTCCCCCCCCCTTCCACCTTTTGGAGGCAACCTCTTCTGTTAGTATAGAGAGCAGCAGAGGATGTCAATTCTGTATCTGCAATGATTCATATTGTCTGGCAGCAAGATAAGATTCCTGCTGGTGCCTTCCATCATCTTTTATTAAATCAACAGTTATTTTCAAATGGAACTGTGAGCAAAATACAAAAAAATACATGCCTGATTCATTCGGGGTCCCCCCCCCATAATAATAGTTGTATTACCTCTCCCTGCCAGTAGTTCTGTAATTTTTTCACTTCCTGTAATAGGGTGACAACGCTGTTCATTCTACAGGGACTTCACCATCCAGACAGGGTAGTCTAAGGTTTAAATGGACTTTAAACAATTTGCAAAGCCTTTCACCCTGTGAAATTCTGTGAACGTTCGTTTTGTGCGAATAGAGACAAAAATTAATGTTCTTAGTATATTTTCTTTCCAGGTCGAATGTAACATTAGGAAAATAACATGTTATGGCCACTAGATGGAGCTGAGGAGCATAGGAAAGAAGTATTCATTTTCTATGCTCCTCAGCTTCATCTAGTGGCCATAATGAGGTATTTTCAGAATTTTACTTTTGACCTGCAAAGAATATATACAAAAAATTTTTGTTTTCAGCCTCAGTGGTGAGATGCAAAAAAACATACAAATGAGTGAAAGCAATATTTTATTTTAGCACAATATGACAATTGTTTATGATACTGCTAAATACATTATATGTCAATATATGATACTACTAACAAACTAAATATCATCATTCGTTTATTGTTTACAGCTGCTTTTGCATGTTGCCATGTTGGAACTGTAGGTGTAGCTTTGTCTATGGAAGGCAGTTTGGTCTACAAAATGCTTCTCTAGCAGCTCTTACCTTGCCTTGTCATTCCATAGGTTGCTAGACTGGCGCCCAGAGGAGGCCCCTAGTCCATGCTAGAGAAATCCACGCACGGGTACCAGCTCGGAGTCCAGCTTTCTTCTAACCCTCACCTGATGAAGGAGGATCACTTAATCCCCCCAAAACACATGTTTATTATTTTAACTCTTATGATGAATAGGAATTGATCTCCACTTCCAAGCATACACCTTTCACGCTCTTCACTCTACCAATTGTAGTCTACGATTCCAAGGTGGCAATGTGCAAAATATGACGACTTTCCATTCCAAATTGCTGTTAATACCAAAAAATAATACTGTCTGTTTTTCGTCTCTCTACAGGTGATTATGCTAAAAATGATCTTCAATCATACCTCAGTTGAACGCTGCAGGCCACCGTTGGCCCTGCTAAGCCCAGGGGTGCAAAAAGACTGTAACTTCTTTCTGACGGCCATCCGCCTGGCCTCCCTCAACCAAATACTTGACCCTTGGGTCTACCTCTTGCTGCGGCAAATTCTGCTCCGAAAGTTTTGCCAGGTAGCGAACGCCGTGTCAAACTGCTCCACTGACGCCCACAAAGATCAGCCTATCATATTAACCACAGACGTGAAAAAGCCAGAGGGCTGACACATATTTATGGAGGCCCTTTGCATGCCGAAAAGAAAAATAATAATTTAAAGGGTAAATTCACCCCAAAATTGATGTAATAGGTGCAGATTGAGGTTGACGGGTTGAATCGGATTTGGGAGCCAAGAGTTATGCCATTATATCAGGTCCCTCTCTCGCAGGGAAAGGAACTCCAGAAGGGAGAGATCTACATTAGGTTCCTCAACTTCACCCACCTGCTGCAGCCCACCTAACAATTCCACCCACCTGCTCCAGCACACCCAGCAACTCCCCCCACCTGCTGCGGTCCATCCGACAATTCTACCCACCTGCTGTCGTCCACCCAAAAACTCTACCCACCCGCTGCGCTCCACCCAACAACCCTACCCATCTCCTGTGCTCAACCCAACAACTCTACACACCTGCTCCGGACCACCCAACAACTCTACCCACCTGCTGTGGTCCACCCAACAACTCTACCCACCTACTGTGGTCCATCCAACAACTCTACCCACCTGCTGTTGTCCACCCAACAACTCTAGCCACCTGCTGTGGTCCACCCAACAACTCTACTCATATGCTGTGGCCCACCCACCTATTGCCACCTGTCTTGATGCTGCACTTAGTTTCCACACCCCACCAGCTCTACTCACCTACCAGAGTTGATTCATTCAGTGCTTGGAGAAATTTGCATTTTGCTTCTCAAACCAAGTCTTTGAAGCTTTTTTTGAAGGCTGTGAAATGCAGTGTTCGAATGTACAGTTGCATGTTATAGAGCAGTACACATTTGTGCTTACTGTTCCTTTTGCAATGCTTTGCTATTATTCCTATATACGAGGAAATGTGAATGCATCTCCAACATGTCTCAAAGTAATCTCAGGCTGATCTTAAATGCAAGCCATTTTTCTACGTTTGACTTGAATGTGAAGGGGTACATTAGCATTCATGCTGGCCATACAATCATGTGGCAATTTGTTGGCATCCCTAGATGACTGAAAATAGGGTAAACATGGATTGAGGGGATCTCAATGCCACTTGAAAAGGATTTTTTGATCGCCTTGCACCCTAGTTTTGATCATCTGGTCACATGAAACCCGGAAACCTCCAGGATTGAAACCTAACTGAAAATAACATAATGTTCTCATATATATGGTCAGCTTGGATTTGGGCCCAGGTTTAAGTTGGCCAAACATGTTATACTCTAATTGTGCAATCTGCTTTGGAGATACTAATAACTGCAAGGGCCTACCTGATTGTAAGCTGAATGGATCCATTGTAGCTGGGAACACTCACAGACATTAAAATTGCCAGATCCTGAGGTCATCATCTCAAGTATATGGTTAACTCCCAAGCAATTTAACAAACTAATGGCTGATCCAGTGTTCCACTACTGAAATTTAATTTTTAGGTGGCCTGACCCATTCAAAAGGTCAGCCCACCAATGTTGACACTAGGGTTGCCACCTGTCCCGGATTCACCTGGACAGTCAGGGTTTTGAACCCTGTATGTGCTGTGTCCGGGTTTCAGGCCAGCTGAAACCCAGACACAGCACGTACAGGACTCAAAACCCGAACTGTCCAGGGGAATCTGGGACAGGTGGCAACCCTAGTTGATTTTTTAGTTTGAGATACTGAAGAGTCACATCAACTGACACTTTTTAGTCTCTAAAGCCCAGCTCCAGACGAAATGTTTGTTTTTTTCGTTCAAAATAGTTTTTTTAAGTTTTGGTTGTGGTAATAAGTAATCACACGTTTACATTCAAAATCAGGCTTGGTAACATAACAAGTAGTGTATACAATAAGAGAAGGATCTCGCATTAGAAAGAGACAATCGATCAGTAAAGTCTATAAAAACAACAAGTAGTCAATATAACTACTAGTAACATTTTAGTAGTGACATTATGTCAATGGTTCAGAAACTCAATATGAATCGTCTGGTTTTAATTGTGGGGAGGAAGGGTTGTGAGGAAGGGGGAGGACAAAGAAGGGGAGAGGAATATAGGAGGTGGGATAAAAGATATTTGTCCAAAGCTTCCGGTAGTCCAGCCGAAATGTTTTATTGTATTTTGAGTAGAGCATAAGAGGGCTAAAACATTGTTATTTGTAATCGCCTGTGTCCCTGTTAAAGAGATTTCCTCTCACCTGTTCTTACTGCTCTCTGTGCCTTCTACCCCCATCCCTTGTACAGAGCGTCACAGAGGAAATTAGGGCAAATCTTCCCAATTGGGTCACAGAAATAAAAATCTGGAGGTACATACATAAGGGGCCCTAGATCTCATTTTAGTAATATGTTGTGAAAGACCGTCTCATTGATTGAGATGAGATTCTTTGGTTAGACTGCCCACATTTTTAGAGCAGTCCCAAAAAGAAGGGAGCCTCGAAATCTGGCTCCAACCAACGTTTTCACATTTTTCATAGTGTGAGGGAGTGCTGCAATCTATGTCAGGTTTTTATTTCTTAATATGTAAAAAGCAGTGAGAGCGCCACATTAATGGACAAAGAGTCCAAACTATTTTTTATTAGTTATTTAGTAGGATAAGAGAGCCAGCGTGTTTCAGGGGTTCATTCTTAAGAGCTTTTGTTGTAGCCCTGATGAAGGGGAAGTGTCTGAACCCGGAAGAACTTTGGCTGTCTTTTTGCCACTACACACCGATCAACCATAACATTATGACCACCTGCCTAATATTGAGTAGGTCCCCCTTTTGCTGCCAAAACAGCGTTGACTCATCGAGGCATGGACTCCACTAGACCTCTGAAGGTGTGCTGTGGTATCTGGCACCAAGCCGTTAGTAGCAGATCCTTTAAGTCTTGTAAGTTGTGAGGTGGGGCCTCCATGGATCAGACTTGTTTTTCCAGCACCTCCCACAGATGCTGGATTGGATTAAGATCTTGAGAATTTGGAGGTCAAGTTAACACCTTGAATTCAATGTTGTGTTCCTCAAACCATTCTTGAACCATTTTTGCAGTGTGGAAGGGCGTATTATCCACATGAGGCCATTGCCATCAGGGAATACCGTTTCCATGAAGGGAGTACTTGGTCAGCAAAAAAGTTTAGGTCGGTGGTATGTGTCAAAGTAACATTCACATGAATGGCAGGACCCAAGGTATCCCAGCAGACCAAAGCATCACACTGCACTGCAATTCACTCCACCTCTCAGAGGTCATAATGTTAAGGCTGCTCACTATGTATATCTAATAAAAAAAAACATTTTGAGTTTTTTCACCATTGGTGTGGCACCCTTAATGCTTCTTTAATATTTAAAAGTAAAAACATAACATCAGTTGTAGCTCTCCCCCACTCTATCCAAAATTTTAAAAAGTTGGTTGGAACTGGGCTTCAAGACCGCCAGTAAGAAGATGTCTGATTGAATTCCCTGGCCTGCACAACTTTTTCAACCATATGGATGTTGCTCTTTTATGGATTTTTAACTTATATAATTTCATGAAAAGTGCAACAGATGGAGTGGAAACACCCAGAGCTGGACCTCAGAAGAAACCCAAGACTTTACAATGGATGAGAAAACAGCTATGGTGGTGGAGACCACAAGAAAGTCATAAAGCCCAGCAGGTGACTCGGTGCACTAGACTTCATTTACAACCAAAATAACACTTTTTGGGTGGACTGACGTGTTAAAAAAAAACGTTCAAATGTGAAAAAAGGGTCCAAAGGCCCATCGTTCCAGTGATGGAACCCAAAGCTGCTAAGATGGACAATTTTTACTTCTGCTCTGTGCCAAAAGTCTAAAGTGTACATATTTAAATGAACTGCGTTGCCGCATCTATTTCCATACATTCTGCCTGTATATTGGAGGTTACGTTGTACCAGAAGAAGGCAAAAGGATCCAAGCTATTATGATGCATGTTGTAGGAAGACCCCATTTGATGTCTGACGAGCGTAACCAAAGAGCTTTGTTTTCCGGCAGTGTCTCTTGTGCATGACGAAGTCTGTACGATGAAGTAATGCAGGGAAATAAAAGGAATTGTCAGACCGAGCCTCGGTGTATATATTACTCAGGAAAAGAATAACTCAGCTTCAAGCAGTTCTCTGCACGGCTCACCCGGAGGGGAATGAGGCGGCACAAAGGGAAGGTGGAAAAGTTAATAAAACATTTATTAGAAAAGAGGATTATGGGTTTAACCACTGCATGAGTGCTCTCGGTAAACCTACATTGTGGGGAAATAGGTTTTGTCTTTGATATGATGTACATCTAGTGCTACACAAAAACTTTACATTAAAGCCATACTCCAGGTATGAGGACAGTACTGGGGATTAGATAGACCTTCACAGGTCCGATCATCCAGGCTGTCTCCAGTGTCCTTAAATTGAGTCTCTTCCATCACCCGAGAAGTGTCGCTCCCCCTGTACTTCCTGGCGCTGTGGGTCTCATAGCCCTCAGTGGTTTGGTTAGATCCCCGACCCCCTTTGCTCCTGGCGAATCACTAAGCAACAGACCCTAAGCTACATTTTGTGATTGGCCTAAGAGGAGAGAAGGTCGGGGATGCGACCGCAGCACTGAAGTCTATGAGACCCACAGCACCTGCCTTCCGAGCGCTCATCGGGTGAGAGAGGAAACCCTTTTTTGGAACTCAGCAGCCTGGATGGTCAGACCTATCTTATCCTCACTACTAATTATATGTTTGAAACTGTCCTCTTGGCTGGAGTTTGGATTTAAGAAGATTTAGGGCCTGGGCTCTTACGTGACCACCTCGAGTTAGGGCTCATGCACACGGACATAGAAATTTATACGCAGTAAGACCTGGCATAAAAAGTGATCCGTAGTGCATCTCAACTCATACCGACATACATGTGTCCATATAGAGCTGGGATGGCCACTATGTACAAAGTCATTCATTCAAAATGACTGATGGCCTTTCTGAGCCTTAACGGCAGAACTGCCGCTGCTGCCTACACTTTGTTTACGTTTACATATGCCCCTGAATAAGTCCATCACTAGGCAGTGGCTTTTCCCTTTGGAATGCTTACTATGTACAAAGCCATTCATTCAGAATGATTGATGGCCTTTCTGCGCCTGAACCACAGAACTGCCGCTGCTG